TTTTTTACTGTATAATTAATATAATGTTGAACACATCAGTTACTTTCCAGAATTTAAGTAAAATTAATACATGCTCTTGAAAAGTAATCTATTTTTCTAACTACAAATAATGAAGGCCTAATTTATCTTGGGACTAATATAACTTAGACACATGCAGTTAAAATGCAAGTTTTATTACAGTCTTGATGTGAATTTTTTTATTTTCATTCGGTTTGAATAGCTTAACCTTACCTATTGTCATGTTTCTTGACAGATGTCCAATTACTTATACTATATGTAAATACACTGATTATCACTTCTTAGTAAAACTATTCAAGTCAAATAATTGAAGTTATATTGCTCTAAGAACCCATTAATAAAAGCAAAGGAGAATGTGTTATAATATGTCAACCACACTACATCTGCCACTTTCAACCCATATGAAGGCTCAACTGGCCAGCTGGGATACAATAGACATGTTAGTCATCTAGGTGCTATATATATATCATCAGTTTTCATGAATAATGAATGTTATGGTGTGAACCAGATTAAGCAACTAAATCATAATTATTATCAATTTTATTTAAATCATTTACATATCAAATTTTTATGGAAAGAATTAATAACACAATGGTAATTATTTATTTGTTTTATGTATTAATTATTATTATTATTTATTTTACATCAAAAAGTTATAATAATATTGTTGCAAAAAAAGTACAATCAATTTAGGGTTAGTAATGAATATTCTTACGCATTAATATATGTATTTTTTATTTATTCCTGGCAGATTATCACCTGTACATATTGCTGATGGAGGTGTCCATATTTAAATAAATCCAGGAGTGTGTGATAACACCTGTAATTTGGAGAAATTCCAGCATTATGTTTTGTCTCCTTGATCCTTGAACCTAATCTGCTTTTCTTCGAGTGGTACTATGATACAATAACAACATTTGTCATCTTCATCTTGATTCATAGAATCAGGTGATGAGTTTTAAATTATATATTAATAATATTTTACATGTATAATGTTATGTACATATGGTGCTATACATATTTCAAACAAAAGTCTACTCATTAACGTGACTTACTACTTCATTCAGACTGTGTATGCGTATGCACGTGTTCAATAAATATACTTGCCATAGATCCATGTTAATCATTCCATTTAAAAGTCTACTCATTAACGTGACTTGCTACTTCATTCAGACTGTGTATGCACGTGTTCAATAAATGTACTTGCCATAGATCCATGTTAATCATTTCATTTAGTAGTGTATGAACATTAACTTTATACACTACAGTGAATTGTCTAGCTCATTCAGAGAATAATATTTACATGTATCATATTTTTTTGCTTAATATTCTGAGATTTATAAATAACATTTCTTGATTTGTTGTCAGGAAAGTTTTATAAACAAGTTGCAAAAGCTTCTGTAAATACTGATTTTGGCAGTATTTATTAATCAACAGTAAAGCTAGTTAGATCTGCAGCACTGGTTTTAAGAGTATATGGGGTAGAGATAGGCAATTAATGGAATCTGCTAATTGATTATAATCAACTAATCAGTTACTTTAACATGAGACTAATCTTCCTATGTTCATTCTAATTTTCAGCTCTTTTAAAACATTTTCAGACTGCTGCTTATTTTGATATGATAGGCATCTTTAGGTAAACAATATAGGATTAAGTTATTTCTTTGATTCAAATTAACATGAGACTAATCTTTCTATGTTCATTCTAATTTTCAGCTCTTTTAAAACATTTTCAGACTGCCGCTTATTTTGATATGATAGGCATCTTTAGGTAAACAATATAGGATTAAGTTATTTCTTTGATTCAAATTGTTGTACATGAAAATATATCATATGCACAATGTAATATGAAGCCTATTGCAAGCTGTGCGTACTCCTTATACTGTTTCATGGGTTTCTCTCTAAAAATTTTCACGAGACTACTAAAACTAAAGAAACCAATTCTCTATTAAAAACAATTGTCCTTAGATTTCGTGTGATAAAACTGGTAAAAATTATTGTAACAGTGTATGATAGATAACATAATTCAGTGAAAACTAATTCCTACTGATCATAGTAAAACAAAGACAGTATAAGATATACAACTTTCAGATAGTAAAATGATTGATAAGGTGAAAATTGAAATATTATAAGAAATATTAAAACTGCTGTAATATGAAAAATATTTAATTACAGACATTTCAGAATTGTTTCTAATTCTATGGTCAGTGTGAAAACTTAAAAGTAATTACCAATTTTACAAGTATGAAAAACTAAAAGCTTTTAAGCAAGAAGTTGTTTAAACTTTGTAGAATGGACGGCAACTGCCTGTTGTAGAGACACAAGTATAGAGGACAATGTTTCGTCTTTAGGTCAGTGTATGTAAGGTGTTGTCAGTCTTTATAGTATTCTGGTGGATTGTGGAGGGCATGTTATGATTGGTTGATTTATCCCTGTTTCTGATTGGAGGAGAGATTTCTTGGAGATTCAACCAATGGTAGCCACAGGTTACTCACCTCTAATCTGGAATCTCTGTTTAGTGCAAGTTTAATTGTGTTAATATAAAATGATTCTGTAATTTCTCTTGTCTTCCAAAACTTGTCTGTATCGATGATCCTAGTTTTTCCCAGTTTATTTTCTGTCCATTTGAAATGGCGTGTTCTGCAATGGCTGAATTTTGTATTTTCATGAGTCTTGTACTGTCTTTATGTTCTATTATTTTTGTTACGAGTCTTATTGCCATTTGTCCAATGTACGTTTCCTTGCAGGAACACGGAATTTCATAAATGACGTATTTGTGTTTCTCATTGGTAGATTGCTATTTGTTTTTTACCAGAAAGGACCTTAATGTCTTGTAGGATTTCCACTGGACTTATATGTTGAATTTCTTGGCTGTGTGTTTGAGTTTTTCACTGAAATATTGCAGGTAGGGGAGGTAAATGGTAGTAGTGGTAATGTTTATCTGATCTTTTTTTTTCTGTTGTGGTCTTTTTCATGAAGTTTTTGATGAAGGAGGAGGTGTAACCATTCTGTTTAAAACCCTCTACGATGTTTTGATGGATGTCTCATCGCAAATATTTTCTGCTCTCTTGTTTAGGTATCGGATAATACCATGTTTTATCGAGGTTGGATGATACGACTGGAAGTGTAGGTTTCTGTTCATGTGGGTGGGTTTTCTGTATACAGTTGTGGTGATTTTTTTCTCTTGTCTGCTACAGAGTATGTCAAGAAACAGTAGGCTGTTTTGTTCCTCTATTTCCATGGTGAAGTGGATTCTTTTGTTTACAGATTTAAGATGTTCTAAGACCATGGGGCCAAATATCAAAGGTTTCATCAACATAACATCTGTAGAAACTTGGTTTTATAGGTGTGGATAAGAGGGCTCTTTCATTAAAGTCTTCCATGGAAATGTCTGCTAGGATTGGAGAGAGTGGTGATCCCATGACTAGACTATCTGTTCATAGAATTCGTGGTTGTATTGGAAATAAGTTGATTGTAGGCAAATAGTCGTTAGTTCCATGATGGTATCTATCTTCATATCAGTTCTGTGTGGTAAAGAGTTGTCATTCAGCAGTCGTTGTCTGGTGATGTGAAGGGTTTCTAAGGTTGGAACATTGGTAAATAGATCTGTGATGTCAAAACTGACCAGAATATCCTGGGATCTGATGTGTAGCTTTCTGAATTGTTCTATGAAATCTGTCGAGTTTTGAATGTGATGTTCGGTATTCCCTCATAGTGGAGATAAGATAGGTACTAGGAAGGTAGCCAGTTGATAGCAAGGGGGGTTTATAGCAATTACAATAGGCTTTAAAGGTGTGTTAGGCTTGTGTACCTTAGGTAGTCCATAGAACTGAGGGGGGGTGTTGGTTCTTAAGTTTTTGGCTAATTTCTCGTTGATTAAGTTTTGTTTCTTAAGTTTGTTCAGTGTTCTATTGATGAGTCTTCTGTCTTTTCTGTAGAGTCATTGGTGATCTTTTTATATTGGTGTTTGTCTAGTAACTGCTTGATCTTCATGTCATAATCTTTTGTGTCTACGATGACTATACTGTTTCCTTTGTCTGCTGGTAGAATCTTGATGTTGTTGTCTCATTTTAGATGTTTAAGTGCACTGCATTCTTATTTAGTCTTGCTCGGTTTTGGTTTCTTGGCATTCCTGATGATTGTGTAAGTTTGATGTTGGAATTGTTCAGCCATAGGTTTTGGGAGGTTTTGTGCAGCAGATCCTAAGGTTGCAGCTATGTCAACAGTTGGAACTGTGCTAGGTTGTATTGCAAAGTTTAGACTTAGGTTGAGAGCTTATTTTTTGTATCACTTAGTAGTCTTGAACTGTAATTGTGAACTATGTTTGTAGTCGGTAGGATTATCTGTCTTGGTAAATCTGTTGAATTTTTGAACTTGTTTCTTCTTGATGTTTTCTAGGTGGGATGTATAGCATTTGGTGTAGAGGTTTATGATATTGTTACGTCTCCAGTCGTTAGTTAATTTTCCGTAACTTCATTACGATGAAACTTTAGTGACACAAGTCCTTTCTTAAATAAAACTGGTTTATTCTTTCCGAATACAACTTTACGATACACTTAATTTCAACAGTCGTGCTATAACAAACGCTATATCCCACGTGGCCAACAATATTTTGTCCGCATACATTCAATTACTCATTACACTGTTGTTCCATCACGTTGTGACCATCTTATATATACCTGACTACCCCAATCTAGTAAATGCTAGGGCATTCATGAAGGAACAGGATATTTCTAGAAAACGTGGCGTGACACTAGTCACGTGACCCTAGCTGACGCAACAATATTTAATGCTCTAGTATACGTGGGGAAAAGTTGTTGAAAATCAGCATATTGTGTTCCAGTTGTGTTGGTTAGATGGTGCTTCTTCAGTCTATGTTCTTCTATATGCAATCTTAGGAGGTGCCTGCTGGTATTGTCAAGAACAATTTTATCTTAGTAGTTCTAGCAAAAGTAGTTTCTATGAGTATCAGAAAGTTCAGGATGACGTTTGAACCTCTGCAGCACAGTAGGAACATCAGGTGATTAGAGCAGTGTGCAAGCTTGGTAAGGTTCTTATTGTAGTCATTGATCTTCTTGATAGACTCTGGTCCATAAAAGCTCTTAAGGTATTCTTTGATAGATTTTTTAGGTAGAGTATTCATGATGAAACTTTGTAGAATGGATGGCAACTACCTATAAAAGTTGTTGTTGTTACAGATGAAAGTTTAAAGAACAAATTAAAATGATTAATACATTTACATTTTTGTGGGTTGGAGGAAACTATAGACACATGTATGCAGTTGAGAAATCAGTAAATCAAACAAATTAAAGCTTACTTATGCATATGATGACAGCTAGACTTTTTCCTTTTCAATACCTGCTATTAAGCTTTGATAATTTTATGTAATTAATCGAATTAATGTCAATTATTTTGTGTGGTACAATATTGTTAAATGAAAAAGTTATGAAACGATAAACATTTTTTTAGAACAAGTAAAGAATAATGAATATTAACTTGCCCTAACTTCTTTTTTTTATTAAAGCTATAGTTACCCTAAATAACATTGGTTATGCTATATCTTGTAATAAGTAAGCAATATACTAAGTTTAAGTTACACTATTATTAAGTGATACAAGGTAAACATGAACAACAGGTATTGCTGTCATTAGTTGTGAACAAGCAGAATGCATGTATGCTCTCAAGTCAATGAAAGTCATAATACTTAATATTTCATGCCACAAATAATTTACTTTGAACAACCTTGAATAAATCGAAATTTGATAGTTAGGATTCATATATTTATAATGGTAATATTTTGATTACTTGAATTGTTGAAGTAATTGGAAACACTAATTAATTGATTATTTTATATAACACTAATTGACATAATCAATGTTTTTTGATAATTGATTGATTAATTCAGTTAATCACCCAGCTCTAATGGGAGAAATGTCTGTACATGTATCTGTGAATTTCATTTAAACATATTGGGAAATAGGGTCTGGGGAAGAACCAAATAATTTTTTAGGAACTATTTAAACTCAGTTTACCTAAAACTAATGGAAACTTGTACTTAAAGGGATCTTTTATAAATGTTGGAATACATGAGGTGAAAAGATTAGTTAGTTATACTGATAGAGAAATTCAAAATAACCTTTGCTCATATTAGAAGCTTTGTTTTTTGATTAGCATATTAGGTATCAGTAGTATTACTGAGCCTTGGTCACATGAAAATTATTAAGATATGTTAAATAGAGAGTACTTTTGTTTGTAAGAAGTGAGATGAAAGCTTAAAGTAGGAAAGAAAATATATCAGTGAAATTAGCACATAAGTAGAGGGTGTTTAAATTTCTAAAAGAAAGGGAAACAATACTTATTGGTTACGTTATTAATGAAGAATATATTTAGATACACAGTATAAGACTTTGATATTGGAGATGTATACACAATATTGTGTCTATTAATTAAAATTGTACTAAAATCCACCTTTTTTTAGCTTTTAACACAAAGACTCCAATACTATTTTCAGCACTTTCACATGCCCTCCTCAGCTAGATTGTGTCTCACTTTCTCTATGATAACTAAGATACAGAAGTGAATACATGTACAATATACAGTTGAGGAACAGTTGTATACATCATGATTTGTATTTACTTATTCTCTCTGGCATACTAATTTCATCATTCTCTTATGTTGTCTCATCTTCATTGTGTTTAATGTTTATATGTTTTCCATAAGATGTTTGAAAGCTCGCTAGACGATCATTTTTGTGAATATACATGTAAATAAGGTATCCTAATTTCTAAATGTAATTGAGTTCCTGTTCACTTTATGGTTTTGATGTTTACTGTGTGCCAATGAGCATGCTGTTAAGAAAACTTTAGAATTATCTTTTGTGGATGAATAATTTTCTTTTGAAATAAAAATATAGAAATATTAGTTTCATGAGCACCAGGCTAACACGGATTATATTGTATTTGAAATTAATTACCTCTCTATATAATTTTCTCTTGGTTTCAAACATTATAGAGTTAGTGTATGTGTACAGCGTAAACTTTTTTGTTTGTTTACATGTAGGTACTCTATACATGTATAGGAATAACTTTTACATATAGCAAGTAGGACTTAAACTAATTTAAATATATTCAAAGTTTTGTGTCTACAGTTGCATTGAAATGGATCAGGCAACATTTGAAGGAAACCAAGAAGGTGATAGCTCTTGTAACATGCAAGAACTCCAGCAACATTGTTGCAATGTTTTCCCACCAGACAGTCAACTGTCTGGACATCACACTACAGTACAAGCCTTTGATAGCCGTGATATCCACGTTGGTCCAAAGATATATATATCAGTGCATAATCCAGTAAGTTACTTTAGTTAAAATTATAACATCATTTATCTAAGATTAATTGTGGTTGAAAATGTTATTAAAATATTTTAGTCAGAAGACACATTCAGCATAAAAAGTACACTGCACTTGATAATTAGAATGCAGATTTCATCTGTAAGTTAAAGATACAGTGAATAGTAATAGTATCTTATAGAAAACGTAAAACAGAAATTTTCAGGTAACTTATATCACTTGTAGGATGTCAAGTCAACAAATCTTTTTGTTTTGTATTATTAATTTTTATTTTGAAGTTTCATTTTTTTTCAGCCTAATTTGATATTTATGTGCATGCAAAGGAACACTTCAAAGCAGGTAGACTTACCTCTGAAATAATGAAATTCCTTTCTTGTTGAATTGGAACTCACTCTGTCAACAAAATGTGTCTACTTTCCCACTATAATTTAGATTTTTTTTGTTGACAGTCATTTTGTTACACTTGCTATGCCATACATTCTAATGCAACTTTTTCTGCCACTATCCAAACTTCATTGGAAGTTTAATTATAGTTTGCCTGTAGAGTGCAAGATAAACTTGTAGCCTTATTATCAGACCTGATTCTTCAATGTATTGTAACGAATTTGTCCTTATGTATTTATTTTAATATAAACGTTGTTTAGATTAAACTTGTATTTAAAAATATGCATAGCTTACAGTGTTAGATATGTATTTGTTATATATTTATTCTAATGTCAATGTTTTGTCTGAATTGAGTTTATATTTAAAAACGTATCTAGCTTACAGTGTTAGTTACATACTGCGAGACTCCTGCCAATTCTACAAGGTTGTAGAATATTCGTGAATGTAAGAATTGACAATATACTCACTTCCGTAACCGGTTAAATATAGCTCAGTATTGTTGTCAGAAGTTTTGAGAAAATCTTTCCCGTGCCTATAAAAACAGCCAACGTGACGCGCCAAAAAGAGGGAGTTTAAAAAGTTGGCTAGGAACCTGCTATAACCGTGTGCTATTAGTCTATAAACAGTGATTTTGCTTACCCTTATCAACCAGAAAATTTACTACATTTGACCAGGAACAGTTATAAATTTCGAACATCAATGGATTCTCATCGGACGTTAGTATCTTTCTGAAACTATTACTGGATTCTCATCGGATATTAGTGGTTTTATGAAAATATTATCTTACTTCAATGGTTCAACAATTCAGTGTCTGACAAAGCTAGCTAGCTTCTCAGCAATTGTACATACATCGACTTCAAGTTAACTCGTTGGATATCAAGGAGACTGAACAAGAAAGAAGATTTTACGTTGTTTGTAAGTTAGTGAAATTGTTGTTAATAAAACTTTGTTTGTGGTAATTATTCATAATAATTGTTGTTGTAAATTGTACTGTTGTATATATATATTAAAACATATTTGTGTGAAAAACGGTGTGTGTGTCAATCTTGTTGGCAAATAGCGTCAATTAACTAAAATATTGGCCTCGGACTATTCGATATTCTAATACATAACAGTATTCATTCCATTGTATACCTGGCAGGTATCACAGTTGTATAGGTACTTAATTTGCATAACACTCAACATTTTCTTTGTTTTGATGAAAGTCATTATTTTGCTCAGACCTAATCAGCTTCAGAACCCACTGAGCTGAATTTAATTGTTACTGTTCTAGCCTTAATTCTAAAAATTCTTTTGCTGGGCTCATTTCATTGTCTCTCAGGTATGTTATATTTCCAATATTGAATCTACAGCCATTACACCTGAAGGTGATTCTGTCATATGTGATTATTTCAGAACGTGATTCTTTTATTGGATCCTACCACCTTCTTCTGATCCTGGAGTTTTTGATGTTTTTATAAATTAGTTCAGTATTCATATGCTTCATATTCTCCTTCTATTCTCCCTTTTCAAGTTTTTTACCCTCTTGGTTTTTAGTTTTCTGCCCTGCACGCTATGATTTGTCATCTTTTGAGCAATTCCCTTTTCTGCACAATTACTAACTATATTTTTATCCTGGATCATATGTCTACTTTGATGTCTTCATTACCTACAGGTCTCAATATTATTGTTTTTATTACAATATAGTTTTTGTGTTCCTTTGACATTTTTATGCACCAAACTGTGTTACAAGGTACTGATCTTTTAAACAACTGACCTTCATGTATATATATGTGTATTTTAAATCCCTGCTTTTGTGTGTCTTTGTAGATATTTAACTCTTACTTGTTTCCCATCCAGGGGAAACTTACCAACAGGAATTGATTAGTGTATTAGCATCTCAATTTGCTCCTTGTCATTGTTTCCTTCCAGAATCCTTTGTATAACATGGCCAGGTGGATAAGGCGCTCGACTCGCAATCTGAGGGTCGCGGGTTCGAATCCCCGTCCCACCAAAACATGCTCGCCCTTTCAGCCA